GTATCATCCTCCATAAGTCTCATCTGGATCCCATGCTCTGAAGCTGAGATTTAACATACCAAAAAATCCTGGATAAAACACTGCTAGTTTCATAATATTTTCTTAATAAAAATCGATTCTTGTTCGATGAATATTGTGTTATAGAATATTTTTGTCATCCATCAGAGATTTTGAAGGTAGGTAAGAATGAGTAAAGGACGTAGGTATATAAAGTAATTAGTCAACTTGACCTAAAAAAAATAATTTTTGTTCTTTGGTGAAAATCTTTTTTTTGTTTTTTTGAAGTAACAATCTAATTATTGAACAAGATTGTTCTCTTAGAAGTTATGATTACTACTGTCATTAAAAAAATGGCATATTCTTTTCAAAAGAGATTCTTCTGCATATTTAATAAAATGTATGCTTTCAACTAATTAATATAGGCAGAACTTGTAGAAGAATTTTCTTTCTTTGCTTTCAAAGAATTACCAACTTTTGTTCTCTACTAAACTTGATTGTCGGTGTTTTATTTTTCTTCGCTAAAAATTTTGAATTGACAATGTTCTAACTATTTTAGAAACTTGAAGATGTTGATAATCAATTACAGGATAGTCAAATTCGATGTAATTATTTAGCTGAAGATAATGACAAATTATTGGAACAATTACGTCTTCAACGTAGACAACTTGAAGAAGAACAATTAACAAATGCACAAGTATAAAATAAAGATGATTTTTCTTATTTAAAAAAAAAACAAAAACAAATTTTATTTTTAAATATTTTAGCTTGTTGAACAATTAACATTAGATTCATCACGTAAAATGTTTTCTCATACCTTAAGTAATACAGAAAGTATTATAAAAACTTCTGAAATACGTATTCAAGATCTTGATGCACAAGTTCGAGCATTAAAATTAGTATGTTTATGAAGAATATAAAACTTAAGAAAGAAAAAACGAATATTTGTTTTTTTTCGTCTAGGAAAATGAAAAAATTAAACATGAAAATGAAGAATTACGAGAACGTGCTGTGGCAGTGTATGTATCTATCAAAAACAAAAAATAAAAACAAATTTTATCTATGTTCTTTTGTATAGTGGTATTAATGAAGGTCGCCGATTAATGACTAATCAAGGTTCATTATCGTATGCTGCTGAACTTGAAGTTCTATCGAAAGATGAGGTAAGATTAGAAATAACTAGTTTATTTTTTTATTAGAAACAAAAAAAATTTCGTAGTCATTTTCAAGGGATATATTTAACTTTTTATCTTTAAATAAAAAAAATTTCTAATATGCATGACATAAATATTTTACAGTTGATGAGCAAATTGAGAGAACAACTTTTGGCTAATGATCGTCTACGTGAATATATTGAACGAATGTTAACTGTAATCATCGAAAATAGTCCTCAATTACTTGAAGTTACAATGAATGTTGGCACACATGTTGGTTCTATTGAAATGCCAATAAATTCACTAACAAATCAACGAAAACAATCATTAATAATATCATCGAAAGAAATAGAAAATAAATCTATTCCTCATGAATCGTTAAAAGCGACTGAATCAACAAACAGTGATTTATCATCTACATCGACTGTAACAAAACAATCAAATAACAAGTATTGTCTCGTGTAACATGGAATTCCACTTTGATTTTCGGCTTAATGCTTCTTGTTTCTTTATTTTTCTATTTATTTGACGTCTTAATCAAAGGCACCTTCTTCTGTGCGCTTTCTTCTTTAGTGTTTATATTATCTTGTTTCGATAATATTTATCGTATCACATGTGTTTTTTTATTTAGAAATTCAATTTCTTTATAGCTAGTTTTTGTTTTGCATGTC